GTAAGGGATGTTTAAATAAGTCCGGGATTTCTCACACATCGCCAATCCACACTTGCCAACGTGGTATGATGTACGTATGTATGTTCAACTTCTTTTCCACCGTACGTAGCCAACCGTGATTATTATGGGTGTGATGGGACAGCCCCGTGACTGACATTAATCGGGAAGGCCTTCATCCAGCAGGAGGTTAAGAAGGCTACAATTGATTGCTTGATTGATGACATACCAATGGATTAATAATTTGAATCACACAAACATTGAATATACAGCAGAGTTCAGTGGGCACAATTCATGGCAGCTGTTTTGGTCATAACTCTCACACTCTCCGAATGGCACTTTTCATAGAAACTCATAAAAGAAAAGAAAGCCGATTTTGCATTCACGTGCAGCCGATTCAGCACAAAAACACACCCATGCCACCACCACTCACGCTGAATTGTGGAATTAAGTGGGAAGATTTAGCGCGGGGTTAGGTCAGGGATTAGGGTGGAGCCAACGATGGCGAAGAAGAGAGTTTCCGCAAATATTCAGAAACTTTCGACGTTGTGCGGAATTACGTCAATTTATTTTGGCTAGCCATCGAACAAAGAAGGTCACTGCATCACGCGCTCTCAGATGCAATTCTGCGGCCATCTGGAACGCTCTTAATTCCAATATTAGGAAGCCAAATCTAGACTGAAAACTAATTTCTTGAGAACTGCTTTTCGTGGTTAGATTGTTGTCCTTCCCCCGCACCTCCGATGGGTACAGTTGGCTACGTACAGTGCGAAATAAGTTCAACATACTATTCTAATTTAGGGGCATTACTTTGTTTGGGGGAGAGCAATGAGAGGGTGTGACAGCCCCATTCTGCACAAATTCACGTCCATGTTTGCCACCTCTATTCCGCAACATGTTTCCGCATTTGGACGCAAAGTTCAGAGCGACGTTTTGCTCCTCCAAACGTTTGTGTTGTAAGCGGTGGAACGGAGGCAAACGCACATGAAGATGACAGTGATGGTGACAATGACAGTGGGAGTTTCATAAACCTCCACGTGATTCACCAACCAGTGCCTCCAAAGTGATGGATAGCAAGCACCATGCGTACACCACACCAGGCGCCCATCTAAGTCTCGGTGGACCTTGGACCTGGAGCAGGCTCAGAACAGGTTCTGAAAACACTCGCTACCGATGTGTGCTGTGGCTGGTAATTAAACTTAAGTTGCACGTCTTTGTATCGCTGTGCTCACTCCCCAAATTACACACACAATCACCCATAAACACATACACACATATGTACACATAAACGTGCACACATGTCTATTGGACCCTTTCGCCAGTATATACACACATGCACACTTACACATTAAAAGACAAAGATCCCCCAAATAGCCTGAACAGACTTTTTGAGCAAGTGCCGTTAGCAAGCACCGATGAAGGCCGGCCAGCACCACGCCTAGGCTTCTTTGTCTCCCGAGTGGCTTTGTATACACACCACACCTGGTACTCATTTGAGGCTGAGTCGACCTAGGGGAGGCCCAGGACCGTTCAGATAATCGTCACTGGTGTTGGCCGTGAGCGTGAATCAAACTGGGTTCTTAGCGCGGCGTGCTAACCGCTTACGCTACCGGTTCCCATACACACATGGATAAACACACACTGCATTTGTCTTAGAGGTACAATTCCATGCCTCAGTGAAGGGCGGAGAAAGTCTCACGTGCACATTCGCGTGGTGTGTTCGTGTGCGGGACGGACAGAGCGTAATTGGTCGGCTCTGTGCGTTGGCGGGGTGAGCGTACTGACATCAGCACACACGGCAACCATTCCTGTGGGCACCCCCCCCACCCCTCCCCCAGCTACTAATTTGACCTCGGGATTTTTTTGCAGACTTAATCTCCACCAATTCATTTTCAAAAAAAGGAGTCATATACTGCTATATGTTGTTGTCCTTCCCCCGCACCTCCGATTATCACGGTTGGCAATGTACGGTGCAAAGTAAGTTCAACATACATACATACACATGAATTAGTTGGAATCACCTTCACGGCTTCCTGAAAAAATGCATTAAAAACTGCATGAATTCATAAAGACGTGAAAACGCTACATTAAACGGGCCCAGTATCACTGCGCCGAAACTCGCGTTGAGTAATGTTCATCTTCAATGGTGGCCTTGAGCGAGTGGCAGGGGCTAGTCTCTCCGCTAGTACAATTAATTGCCCGAAAGTGGAACTAATTTTATTGACCCCGGAAGGATGAGTGGTTTTGTCAATAAACCAATGACCGGGATTTAACTAATCGCCTTTTAATTGTGAGGTGAGCGCTCTAACCAAAGTTCCACTTCGATGTATATGTTAACTTAGTATGCTTTTAAAACGTATGTAATGTCAAGTGCTCTTATACCGCCAACATTGTTATATTAACGTATTATTTTCCTGGATCAAATTATGGAAAACTGTTGGTGCCTATTTTGGTAAATGAACAGCCCCCTGGCCCATCGATATAAACATCCACAGAAAACACAATGGCTTACTGTTGATGCAGAAGAACTCTTCGATGGATTAGATTTGTCAGAGCTTTTAAAAACAACGCAAAAAAGGGAGAAATTCCTGAAGCCTGACTGGTGTCTAGACCTGGGCTCTGAAGAAAACACTGCATATATGCCAATAAAGGAGGTTAAAAAGGGTGCTACAGGAGGCAGTTTAGCAGTGTTAGGTTAATAGAACCAAGGCTGTAGACCTGTGAAAAGCATGACAATTGCTTTAGCATTTGTTCAAAAGCAATAACCCCTCTGAAATGTATATCGGTGCAGAGCAATTTTCGCTACACATCAGTGAAGGCTTTGCGCACAATATTAAGCACACGTGTTGGAAAAGGTGAACTCTTTTAAAATTTACCTATACAATAAAACTGTCATTGCTCGTAAGAAGTGCTCCCTGTGGGTTATTATTATGAGCATTGTAAGATTTATTTAAATATGTGTATTATTTTAATGTATGTGTTTACATTGCTGATGTCTACATAGTCCTCCAGGTGTAGTGTAAAACTTTCACTTAATTAAAACCTCTAGTTCACAGTAACATTACACTTGACGTACACGTTATACCATGAATGTCAAGCGCCACTTTGCTCAAATAAGCTCTGTTGGTGGTCTCGATCCAGTGGTTAAAGTTCCACATTCCTATGGTGGGAGCCAGTTCATCCACTACAATCGTGTAGTCTCACCGCATGGTGCTCTGCATTTTACTGAAACCCAGTGATACCTATGTATTTAAGGGACAACACCGTAGGTGAAAGTTTACGAATGTGCTGCTTTATATCGAATCATAGGTGATCTGAACCTTCCCTCAGCTCATTAAGCTACCATGGGGTTGAATTAAAACAGAATTACAATCTTTATTTATGCTGGAGGAGGAATCCGATGAGATGTGAAGCTCTTAATTCTAGATTTGAAGCTTTCGTGACTGCAAGGATTCATATTCTTAGGTTTTTTCGGTAAAGTCACGGAGGTAAAATATTTAAATTAATAAAAGTACAATAAAATAAAAATGAAATAAAAATCACGACGTTTCGGAGGCAACACATAAGCAAGTCACTAAATATGAATAATTAATAAATACATTAATTATATAAGTCCCATTTATCAAGCTTGGGCAAGGCAGCAAAAACAACAAAACAGTCCCAGAACATATTCTTGGTTCTTTCGGTAAAGTCACGTAGTAGGGAAACAATTAAATAATAAAAATCTAAAACAATAAAATTATCACGATGTTTCGACTGCAACACAAGCAATCATCATCAAGTGTGAAAAACACAGCCACTTTTTAAAATTGTCTTGCTGTGTTTTTCCACACCTGATGATGATTGCTTGTGTTGCAGTCGAAACGTCGTGATGATTTTGTTTTATATTTTTACTATTTTGTTGTTTCCCTTCTACGTGACTTTACGGAAAGAACCAAGAATATGAATCCCTGCAGTCACGAAAGCTTTAAAGCAAAAGTCCCAGACCACACCAAGATAACACGCATGGAAATTCATTCAACATTGACGTTGAATGAATTTCCAGCATGATTTTCTTTCTTTAGCCAGTATCAGCTGCTTCGCTCAGTCTCAATCCTTTGTCTTCTCGATCTTTCACCGCCACAAATGCCCACCTGGGTTGATGTCTTCCCCTACTCCTTACGTGCATCGCCAAGTAAGGGATCCTGTCCGAGTTCAACCTCCTATCACCACAAGTCGATTTCTACGGTGATGCACTGAGTGCACTCATTGCTGTATCTTAGAGAGAGGGTCCTTGACTTTAACATCTGGCAGTTCATCAGCATCGATTCAGAGTTTGCTTTATTGAATCAGTGCAGCTGAAATGTTTTACTCCCAGAAGGCCATGGGGTCAATGAGTTGCGTACAGAATATTTTTTATATTTTACGTGGAGAGCTACATATGTGAAGGAGACATTGTCTGCTCATCTCGTTTGTAAATTACTCTAAAGGTAACGTGGTAACATTTACATTAATAGGCCTTCGTATGCTTCTGTCATGGTATCAGCCATGCATTTAGTCATATATTTTATTTTACTTACCTGCAAAGTATATAAAACAAATATACGTATAACTGTTAATGTAATGCTCACTTATACAAATCTGAATTTCATATAATCCACTTTCATATAATGTACTTCACTTGGTTTAATCATGGACATTTAAAATGGATGGAAAGAGTATAACTGAGTGAATTTTGTGTGCACGTTACAGCCAAAATTCCCATTGAGAAAATTAATTGCAAAACGGATATTGTATCTCACATATGTGCTCTCACGTTATATAACGTGAACCTAATTGAAATCAAACCACAATGGTGCCCTTTAAGGCACCTGGATCTACATAGACAACGTTTATCTTTTAGAAAATGCCAGCTAACTGGAATTAGCAAAAACATTACCAATGTTAATGCGATATGACCATAGGTCTCTGCCACATTAACATCTAGTCGTTATATACTCATGATATAGCCACAAGGCACTCACCCATTCGTTTCTGGGCGACAGCCTTTTTTGACTTCATTTTCTGAGCACGCTTGAGCATCAGCAAGGCAGTCTGTGGATCTCGGAAGCCCCTTCATCATCAGCACAACATGCAGAGCAGCATTTTAAATAGGGCACCACAAACTCATCTGTATCATTCGTAAACAAGTCAGCTGATAAATAAGCCAATAGCTCCAAGTGTCTCCACTGCCAACTGAAAGTAGAGTCGTGCTCATCTCGATTGGCTGCCATCAATCAGCTGGTGAAAATTCCACGATTACGTGGCAGGGGCAGTTTCTAAATAGGGCAGCCACTGCCACTTTTCTACAAAGTGCTATTTGTTTTAATGAACCTCAGATGGATGAATGTAAGTGAGTACGTTTATAAACACGCAACTGTGAGTGTAGTTATATTTTCACGTACATCACTTTCAGATCGTCCAATATGATAGGCAATTTATGGAATGGAGATTAGTATAATAGCGTACGTTATTACGAGTACGCAATAGTCATACTATGTAAGCTCTATCCAACATTTATGTCTTGAATTTTCTACTGAATTGGTTAAATGTCTTGAACATTGCGTAGCGGCAGTGAGTTGCAGGCCGATGGACCGCTGTCCGCAAAGCTGCGAGGTCCAAATCTCGCTGTCTGATTGCGCGGAATGATCACAGTCACCATGAGTTGGAAAACGAAGATGGCGACGATTAATATTGGAGTGAACCGGCTCACACATATGTATCAGATAGCGCGGAGCATATTTGTGTACACACTTGTATACGAATGTGCACAGCTTGTAATCAATAATTTGTCCAATTGGTAGCCAATGCAGGTCATCATGAATAGTCGGAGTGATGTGGTCGCATTTTCCCATTTTACACTGTCAGACGTGCAGTTGAGTTCAGCGCAGACTGGAGTGGACACAGATATGGATGGCGATAGTGCAGCTGAAGACGCTGTCACAGTGGTCCACATGACTGGTGATGAACGTGTGGACTAGTGTCTGGTCTGCATTGTATGTAGCTGCTGTACAAGGTCTACCCCAACCGGAGTTTGAACGTGTAAAATGTTTACTTGTGAGCCCAGCAGTCTAACCGTGATGACACCTGGCCACATTCGCACCCAAACAAGTATTTTCCAGTGTCAGCTTTGGGTTCTGCAGAATAAAATGGGTTTGCTCCTTTCGAAGTTTACGTGCTTTTAAGTGAGAAAAGTGTCATGTGAAATTATCAACGGTTTGAGCATGGGCAAAGCTGTGGTGGGATAAAACGATCTGATAATATAGCTGACAATAATACCAGCTCGAATTATAACAAGAGCTGATTGAGTTATCAGTTGCATTAAAAATGACTGATTATAGAAATAAACAATTTATTACAAGGGACATATTTCGCAAATGGGATGCAATGTTTGGTCAAGAACTCAGAGGCGTGGAGCCAGAGCTCAAAGTCTCTTGTACGCCTGTCTGAACAGGTGAAAGGCTGAACAGGTTGAAAGTCTCAACGGATGAGAGCCTGTACAGTTGAGAGCATGGATGGGTGAGGGCCTTGAGCTGCTGCTTGAAGGTGGATGATGGTGCCTGGATGCTGCGTATGCGCAGTGGGAGAGACTTCCAGATGGCTGCTGGTACAACTGCGGGGAAACACCGCTCAGACAGGACAGTCGTGGTTCTGGTTACGATGACTAAGTTGCTTGACGCACTCCATAGAACGTGGCGGTTTGCCGTGGCGAGTGGAATGAGAGAAGGGTGGAGAGGTAATGGCAGGAGACCGTGAGAGAGAGAGAGCTAGCACAGGATAGTGATGTTGCAGCGTGTCCATGATTTGATGGTGGAGCCAGTGCAAGGTTTTAGATAACAACAATGTTCATTTACATTGGAATGTGAACGTTCCATTTTTATTAACAATGTTCCTTTGGCATTCATATTTTAGAAAGGGAAAGTGACGAATAGAAAACAGTAAGGTATCATGATTTGAGAATAACAAAACAAATCCTCGTACCATTCTTCTCTAATCTTTTCTTGTTTCTCTTCTCTCAGGTGCTGACTGTTGTTTGAAGAAGCCTCTGTTATTCCAGAGGGATGCGAATCATTCCCCCTGGGAATGGAAAAGTACATTCATTATGAATAATGTTTAATTTTTTGTTGTGTTGCTCGTAGGAAATTACACATTTCTATGACAGAGGCAAGTATATGCATACACATAGCAATTAAAGGGATGATATCATTTCTAGATTTGAAGCTTTCGTGACTGCAAGGATTCATACTCTTAGTTATTTCGGTAAAGTCACGTAGGTAAAAAATGAAATTAAAATTAATAAAAATAAAACAATAAAAATCATGACGTTTTTATGACGTTTCGGAGGCAACACAAGTCTCCGGAGATTTGTGTTGCCTCCGAAACGTCGTGATTTTTATTGTTTTATTTTTATAAATTTTTATTTCATTTTTTACCTACATGACTTTACCGAAATAAAACGTCGTGATTTTTATTGTTTTATTTTTATTAATTTTCATTTTATTTTTTACCTATGTGACTTTACCGAAAGAACTAAGAGGATGATATCATGCCTTGTTCCTGGACTGGGATTTCTACTTAGAATTGGCAGTCAAGCCAGAAATATAGTCACTGCCAAAATTGTACTCCAACATTCGGTAGTACTAATCTCAATTTGTAGTTCTGAGAGAGAAGTGATTATTCCCATCTTATACTGGGCATGAGTCTCTCCATATAATACGACATCATATCCATTATGTGGCCACACATAGCACTTTATTAATCAAGTCAAATAAAAGTGTCTCCCTACTCAAACAGGAAATCATATGGCACTCATTTCCTTTAGTGACCCTGAGTCAACGGTAGAGATTTCATATTCCCTTTGCAAGCACTGGTCTACCAATACACTGACTGCTGCTGACTTGCACAAATAACGAGGACCTATTGCAAAAATATACTCACTAAACACATACACACTGACTTAGAATCAGAATCTGTATTTAGAATGGGGGAATCTGATGAGCCGCAAAGCTCTTTTTCCACAGATGTCCAGTCGGGGCAGGTCAAAAAGTTACAACAACAAACAATACAAAAACACGTTTGGAGTGAAAAGTATAGGATGGTAAGCAAATCGCAAAAGAAATATTTTTAATTTTAACCAGGTAAAGCCCACTGAGCTATTAGCTTATTTTTCAGAAGCGACATGGCCACAAATGATAGCTGAACAAAGTGGCTTATCACGTGGCAATTTATAGTAGCCAAGTAAACTAATTAATCTACTTAGGAGCCAAAAAAAACCCACCGGCCTCCACATAAAACTATCCAGGTGCACGTTTTTGAAACAAAGTAGGTGGATGCTTGTGTGTACTGACCTGTCAGCCCTCCATGCTTGTCTGGGCTGCCGGGCTACAGCAACGCCACTGCTGTCCTCCCTGGCTGCAGCACTGCCTGGAGGCTGGGGTCAAAGGAATCGTGAAGAAACTCAAACAAAACACAGTGGATTCACAATTCAAGTGCAGTCTTCCATATATTAAACCACGTGTTGAGCATGTCTTCTCTTAAGCTGTCGTCACGCACTACTGCGGCCATTTTCAACTCATACTTGAACGTACCACTTGTCAATATTTCAAATCTTTAAACTTTAGAAGTTGCCCACAGTCGTGTGTGGTGAGAGCTTTAAGAGAAGATATGCCCAAAACGCGGCCTAACCTGGAAGACCACGCTTGGACATGATGAAATGTGCATTTGTGACGGCTAATGTGTACTTGTTATCAGCAGCTCTCTCTTCTTCTCTCCTTCTTAATTATCTCACTAAACTTTAGAAATAAAAGTCTGGGCAAAGCAATATCTCGTAAAGGACATAACTTGGCGAGTATTCCAAGAGTGTTTGTGGGCCAGACGTTGCCCGTGGGTTGGCAGTTGGAGAATCCTGAGTTAGAGGGTTCTGCATTGAGATGTTTAGCAAATTATTTACATGTATGACAAAACTCAAAGTACCTGGAGAAAACCCATGTGTTTGCAGGGATAACAGCCAGAAGTTCATACAAATGGGTTCATGGACCAATATGCTGTACAGTATTCCCTCATTATTCGTGAGGGATACATTCCGGTGACACTTGAAAATAGCAAATTTCGTGGATAATGATATTGGCCTACGGAAACCTATCTTTTTAACGAATTTCCTTAAATAAATACGTAAATAAGCTATCAAATACGCAACAATTATCTCATCACTTTCTTGCATCACATTCTCTCTCATCACTTTCTCACATCGCATTCTCTGCCATCATTTTATCTCATCTCTTCCTCTCTCTCTCGATGCAGTCGTGTGAAGTTCCAGATACGATTCGCGGATAGCCAATATCGCAGAAACGAGGAAATACTGCACTACTCATTTCCTCGCCACCTTGCTGCCCAAGTGTGCTGGGGAGTTTCACAAATATTTTTGATCCACCAAATTTCCCCTGCATTGCTCTCAATTATATTCATGATTACAAATCTTCTTCTTGGTTCATTCGGTAAAGTCACGTAGAATGGAAATAATAAAATAATAAAAATAAAACATAATAAAATAATTCTCACGACGTTTCGGTCACAACGCAAGCAGCCATCCTCAGGTGAAGAACAGGTCTATCTTCAGACTCTGTCTTATCGACAGACCTGTTCTTCACTTGAGGACGGCTGCTTGCGCTGTGGCCGAAACGTCGTGAGAATTATTTTTTTATGTTTTATTTTTATTATTTTATTATTTCAATTCTATGTGACTTTACCGAAAGAACCAAGAAGATGAATCCCTGCAGACACGAAAGCTTTAAATCGAAAGATTACAAATCTGTTGGTGTTGCAATTCAGCCATATTATGATTATCTCTCCGTGCCTTTTCTTGGAATGTCAACAGTGGTTTTCCTACAGTGTCTGTAACCCGCCATAGCAATGTGGAATTCCCACGACTGTCATGTTAATGGGAATGAACACTTGCCCAACATGCGTTTGAGCCAGGAGACGCTTTGACTGTACAGAATACGCAACGTTCGAGAAACGCACGAAATTGACATATGCCTACAGCGATGTCACAAAACACTGCTCTGTGAACAAACCGGTATCATGCACGGCATGACTAACATTACCACAATGTCGTCTTTTCAACATGTGAAAAAATATCCTGCACGAGCCACCAAAAGACTGCTGCCAATTAAATGTGGCTGGTGGGGGGGGGGGGGTGCAGAGCAAAATGCGTGCCTTCATTGTACCTTCGACAGGAAAAGCTGGCTCCTCGCAGTGATTGGGGGAGTCTCTGCCGGAAGCCAGGCCTCATCCAACTCGTGCTGCACAACGGGAAAAGACAGCAAAGTCAGTAATGAGAAGCAAGCCCTGTGCTCAGAAGACCAAAAGAAACCGTTTTGCCCGCTAATTGAGAAATTGACGTAATGGGGTTCCTCACTTAAATGAGCCACCTATTAACCATCCCCCTCCCCTCCTTGGCCCGTCTCCTTCCAACTCTGATATTTGATACTCCTCAGCAAACAAGAGTGCGTTTTCCTCTCTCTTTTCCTTAAGAAAACAGTAAGATCTGGTTAGATCCAAATAATGTGTTGGCCGAGTAACCTAGTGACCAATCAGCCGGTTGCATGGAGTTTGTAGGTAAATTCTTTCAGCGTCCCTTTTTTGTGCCTTTTCCCCTGCCAATTATATTCCAATTATGCTATTGGCATAATTTCAAGAGATAAATACATTTCTACTCTTTGGGTCTCTCGGTAAATACATTTCCATTCGTAGCTAAAGTATCAAACAGTGCGTCATATTCCGTGAAGGAATGGCCCATGGAAGTTACTTTATGGAACTACCTCTGCCGTTACTTTAATAGATTTAGTGTCCACGCCAGGTGGCGTACCTCTACGTAAACTCTATCCAAAGTGATCATTGCATACGAAGCAAATAATCTATCCTTAGTACTGAAATATGCTAGATAAAGTGAAAAAGGAACATTTTTATTGATAGTATGTGAAGACGCTTGCTGAGACCATCAACTGCAATACTTGGGAACACAGACACCCAGATCCAAACCAAGGATCTCACGAGTGCTGAATCAGTGCAGAGAATTTGATCTCCCAGCACAGCAGTTGAAACGATGAGCACACTTTATTTTCAAATTCCCCCCATCAATGTCCACCCGGCGGTGTAAATGGGTCCACCACAGTTAGTCCATTGACAGATCGTGTGTAGTGGGGGTAAAGTGTGGGTACTCCCACCTCTGTCAACAAGTCTGGTGAGTGTGGAAGCGTAGGCCAAATATCCCTGGAGATGCTCTCTCTAGCCTCTCGAGATCCCTTAATTGGAGGCCTTTCCATCAACAGCCTTGTGAGCAAGCAGTCACTGAAGCAGCATCTTTACCATGAGCAATGGAATTGCACTTTTAAATCATTGAGATTGAAAACTCATTTCTTTAGAACTTCTAGATTTGAAGCTTTCGTGACTGCAAGGATTCATATTCTTAGATTTTTTCGGTAAAGTCAAGTAGGTAAAAAATTAAAATTAATAAAAGTAAAATAAAATAAAAATCACGACGTTTCGGAGGCAACACAAGCTTCCGTCTTCAGGTGGAACCGTCACAGCCCGACAGCTGTATCAAGCACCTCCGATGAGCAGGGTTGGCTACGTACAGTGCAAAAGAAGCTCAACATACACACAAGCAACTATACACTAGACTACTATACACTACCCTATACACTAATACACTACACTCATATGCATTACACCACTATACTATTTTGAGAGCTTATTTCTTTCGAACTGCTTTTTGTGTTCAGTTTGTTGTCCTATCGCACCTTCGATTAGCAGTTGGCTAACATACATACAAAGTTGACTCAGACACAGCCTCTGCGTTGTAGACACACCTCTTGTAGTGTGAAGTTATCGATATCGACTTCAGCAAACTCATCGCTGTCGAGGACCGCGGCATCCCTGACCGCCTGGAGCTCCCGGTGCAGTTTTCTGCGCAGAGCGAAGCCCCTCCACTGAGCCTGCGAGCAAAGGGTGCACCCCTTTTAGTATCGCACATGCAGCAAACGTCACAAAGCAGTCGCATCAAAGACACCCACGCGGGGTGGTGCTGCTTGTAGGTGGACCACCTGATTCACAACCAGCTCGTGGTTATAGAACGCCTGCGAGGGAGGTAAACCGGCTCATCGTCATTAACCCTCTGAGGTTGTTAAAAAAAAAGTTCCACTTTGTGAGAAGCATGTTCATTCTTTTGAAGAGACACCATCACAACATCGTGTCCACCACTGGCTCAGCGTTGCCAGTAAATATGATGGCCCACATTCACTTGAGCATAATCTTTTCAACAACAACCATGCGTCTGGATGGTGAAATCTTGCCGCATATATGAACGTAGTTGGTTATTTACGTCTGAACATGGAGCTGATGAACAGGCAATGTATCATGACTTGCTATCATTTTGTAAAATAGACTCAAGTAGGAAAAGACCAAAGGGGACTCTGCTAAGTCCAGCTGAGTCATATGAATTGACCATTGCTTTGTGCTACCTGATTGAACTCACACACCCTGTTAATACCGATTTTTTTTATTGCACAAACACTCCACATGTAGCAATGCAGTACATAAAAACAAATACGACACCTAGTATTGTTTCTGCTGACTGTAATTACATCCTGTGATGTTCGTGGACTTCAGGGATAGTTTTTTTCACGCGTGTTCATATACACGTGTGTTCATATACTTGCGTGTTCATATACACGTGTGTTTATATACACGTGTGGAGTGGTGGCGCAGTCGTTAGTGCACTGTGTCACGATTGTGGCCACCACGTTGAGCACCTCGATATATACAACTCGAATGTAAATTGTTATGCAAACCTATGGTGGGCCTCCCATAGGTCAGCTCAGCCTTAAATGAGTACCTCATGTAGTGCGTCATCATCAACACTGTGGAGACAAAGGCACAGCACATACGGTGCTCGGCATACAACCACTTTATGCGCTGTGCCAGCCTTAATAGGTACAGTACCTGCAAAGGTAACTTGCCCCATATGGTCTATATACAGCTATACAGAGGATATTTGCCTTTGTGCATGAGCCTCGAGTGTAAATGGGAGTAAGTGTGCATAGTTTAATGTGTGCACACACATACTGGAATATGTCTGTTCAAATGTGTGAATGTGTATATATGTAGACAATGTGGGTGTGTACGTATAGATACAGCCATGTCTGTGGCCAAGTGTATGATTAAGTGAAAGAGGCTGTACCAGTGTAGGTTTTGATATTAAAATATTTCACCAGACATGAATACTCTAATAAGTATTTGAAGAGTATTGCTAATGCATATGCTTTACAGCGATATGCCTTTATTATATTCGTTTGATTGATATTGTTAATGCACCTAATTAATTCATTTTATATGATACAATTACTAACACGTGCTAATCTGTGCAATTACCTACCCTCATTAAGACATGCATGTCATCAAGATACCCGTACATAATTTCAAAACCATTGCTGAAATGCAGTATTTAAAGTAGGATTGAAAACCAGACACCTTAAATCCAATTTCTGAGACACAAATTGCTTCTGTATAAGCTATACCATATGCCAGACTTAATTATTCCCCTTGGAGTCGTTTAGCTATTGGTGAAGGAACTGTTAGTGAGCACCTATTAAGCCTAACTCGACACATGCTAAGGTGCTGTGGTCAGCAAGACGCATGTAGGACCATCTTTCCATTGTTGATGGTGATCACTCCACACGAGGTGCAGCCATTTTAGCCCGAGTTGACCCAAGGGAGAATAAGCCAAGTTTCAATTATACACACCAAGGAATTTGACCAGGGGCTGCTTGATCACAATGCAGTGCCCCAATAACGACAAAAACAAATATATCCCCATATACTCTCATGAACCATTGAGGAAGATGTGGTTCGTGAACACCTACAGAGCACAGAATCAGAATATGTATTCATACTGGAGGAATCTGATGAGCTATAAAGCTCTTTTTCACAGATGTCCAGGAGGGGCAGGTCAGAACTTTACAACAACAATCAATAAAAAAAATCGATCGGAGTGCAAAGTATAGGAAAGGTAAGCAAATCACTGAAAAACATACAAAGAAAACAACACTAATTAAATTTTACCAGGTGAAGCCCACTGAGCTATTAACTTATGTTACAGAAGCGACTTGGTCACAAATGATAACTCAACAAAGTAGCTTATCACGTGAACATTTATAGCAGGCAAATAATCTAAATCTAAACGACCACTGCATGGCACACAGAGTGGTGTGGCTGAACCCATGCCTGACAATCATTATGTCACCAGCTACTCACTTAAGTCAAGATACGTGTGAGCCAAGATAGGCTCAGATACCACTTACCAAAGATGTGCATGGTCAGGAATTAAAAAAAGCATTGCTACCAAGGTGGTAACGCAGTGCACACACCACTGCACCATCACCCCTTTATCCACACTAGCATACATTTCATGTTGAAGTTAGCGTGTGCCAGGTGTTGATGGCCATGTACACCTGTAACCCAGCACGACAGAGGTGACATTTAGTAGATGGCACAAATGTTGCAAAACTCCGTCTGTGTAGGCATCGAGGTGCCGTACCCTGGCTCGCCAGGAGAAGGCAGTACAGCATGTGGACTAATCACCATCTGCTTCCATCTATACAGGGATACAGTGCTTGTCCCCTCGTGTGTGTGGGTTTTTTTCCAGGTGCTCCGATTTTCTGCTACTTGTGTAAACACAAACAATTACAGGACATTCCTGAAAGATTGTCTCATGACTCTTCGTGGCTTTCTTGGATAAATACATGTAAGTGAATTATTATTAAGTTCTGCAAATGGCACGTTGCAGGCAGCCACATTTAAATGCCCCATGGTTCCTTAATGGGAAATGCCACAGCAATTGGTGCACTGCCCTCGTCCTTGCAAAGCAGATTCGACCCTTATCACCATCTCGAGTTAAGCAGGCAGGGTTAACACAGCCCGACCCAGCTTTCACAGGAGCCCACAGTGAGCCTGCCTTCAAGCAGCGGCCCAGGGGAAAGCGATACCCTAATTACTGCCGTGTAAATGCAAATACTCGCTTGTTCCAGTAACCCTCTGTGCGGTGTCAGGAGCACAGGTTTTACATTTAGCAGATACTTTTCATTTTTCGTGCAAGTTGTGGTTAACCATGGGGGAATTGATTATAAAAAAAGAACATACACAAGCACACAATTTAATACTGGTGATTATTTTCCAAAAGCAAACAAAAACAAACAATTTATTTTCTTAAATAAAACAATGTGAATCGTTCGTTGATTTATTTAATGTATTCATTATCATTTATCCAGGAATTAAAACTCTGGCAGGAGAGGTGGCCTTACAGCTCAAGGGACAAAAGCTATGCCCATGGCCAGAATATTGAACCAGCACCGGTGAGATCTTGGGTTTGAGCCCCACGTGGCCACCCGAAATTAAACAGGTTTTCACATTTTCTGCTCTAAGCCCCAGTCATTAGTAATGACTCCACAAAGGAATCATCAAATGTATGTGGTTTTGAATGCAATTCGGATTGTCTTGGCTCTGAGAGTTTATTTTCTATCCGGTTAACCATGGCTATGCCATCATTAAAACGTGCTATTTGTGCCTTGTGCATCAATGTGTGTATATGTGTAGCAGACAGTGTGTATTTGATACGTCTGTGTGAACTATGGTCTTGGCTCCAGATAAACTAATGGGGAATTTTCACCACTTTCTAAGTGGAATAAACAAAGATGAGTAGGGTGGCACTTTGACTCCTTTTGTATTGCTCTTCCTTATTGTCCTATTTATAATCCTATAAAATGCTTTAAAATCAAACATAAAACATGCGCTCACAGCAAAGCATTTTCGTAAGTATTTTTTTCAGTTATTGCAGCTCTGCTTAACTTTAAAGTCTCCACAGTGTGCTCTCATCAAAGCCTGAAACCTGATATCCTAAAACCAAGCTTCAAACCACCGAGCAACTTCATGTGCCCATAACTCTATAACTTTGGTTTACTGTTCCTGAGTGCAAAACATCGGTCCATAACTTGTTCGAACTGACGGAGAAGATATTTCTGAACATGAAGGCAACGATTGTTGTTCATTACACAATTTCTACATGAGTGCTTATTAATAGTCACAATAAAAAATATTATTGTCCCCAGAGGTATCAGCCTGTTGTGAAGTCGACCACAGTTCTCCTAGGGAGTGACCATTTCCCGCCATGAGAATGTGGAATTTCCACCCGTGCTCACGGGCCTCCGATGGAGATGAGCGCGGTCAAGACACTTTGTGAAATTTGAATATCGAAAATGATTTGCCTCGCCTCTGAATGAATAACGGTACCCTTGTATAGCTCAAATACGCTGAACCCAACCTGTAACATTGTTGTTACCTAACCTCCCGTCATTACCTACTCTCCACTGGGTTTCCCAGCCTGGGGAAACTAATGACGTTTTACAGATTCAGGACATTCCAGGGCATTACCCCTCTCTCGCTCGCTCGTGCCTACAAGGCCTTGAATACATCAACAGATTTATGGCAAACTATTAGCAAAATGTACACTAATGCAAACACTATAATGGTGGCAACACTTTCAAGCTTAATACAGCCTTTGCATTATTGATTATTCACGCCATGGTAAGAAAATAAGAGATTAGTTCCTTTGTTATTTTTTAACCATGCAATTTAGTTTTACTTAACCCAGAATACAGGAGCTAATGACTGTTTTTATTACGTTCGTAAAAATGTAACAAACGAAAACAAAATATTTTTTCTATTTTTAAATGTGGAAAAATAACTACCCAAAGCTGCCATTTCCTGACAAAAAGCATTTAAGCTCTGCTCGTTTAGAATTTTGGCTTGTGTTTTAAGTTTAATGTGTCTACAGGTATTGCAATTGTTTAAAAAGACCATGCAGATAATAAATTGGGTGTATTTGGAACTTCCTACACTGTTGAGCTCTGACACCAATGTGCATAATATAACCTGTAAAAAC